TATAAAATGAGGCTCCAAGGAGGGTCACTGATATAAAATGAGGCTCCCTGGGACGGTCAGGCCTGTGGTAAGAGTGTGTCCAGCAGACAATGGAGGAGGGTGGACCGTGTGTGCACCCTGACCCTTGTGTAGCCCCAGACTGCGTAGGTCCAGTGACAAATACACACACAGTGAGGATGAGATCGCTGTAGCACTTTTTTCTCTTCCAACTTCTGTTATTGTTAATGACTCAAGAAAAGGTATATTTTTCTAGTTGGAAGCCATGACAAGAAGCAGCCACAGTTCAAGGGCCTGCTCTGGAGAAGTTGGGGGAAAATGGGGTTATTTAGATAAGGATTCTCTGTGTCTTCTTTTTTAAAATAGGCATTTTTATTAGGCCAGAGCTGGCTATGGTTCAGAAAGCAAAGAATAGAGCAATAATCCCTGATGATACATGAAGCAGCCATAAAAATAGAAGGAAATCTTGCCATTTGTGACAACATGGATGGACCTTGAGGGCATTTTTCTAAGTCAGAGAAAGGCCCATATTGTATGATCTCACGTATAGGCAGAATCTAAGAAAGCCAAACTCCTAGAAACAGGGACCAGAATGGTGGTTGCGGGGGCTCGGGAGGTAGGGGGGAAATGGGGAGATGTTAGTCAAAGGGTACAAACTCTCAGTTATAAGATGAATGAGTTCTGGGGGTTTAACACACAGCTTGGTGACCATAGTTAACAATACTATATTAAGTATTTGGAAAGTTGCTAAGAGAATAGATCTTGAACGTTCTCACCACACACACCTACAGACAAAATAGTAATTTGTGAGGTGATGGAAGCGCTAACTAACCTTATTGTAATAATTTCACTGTATATATGTGTATCAAAGCAGCATGTTGTAGGCCTTAAACATACACAGTGTTGTATGGCAATTATATCCCAATAAATCTGGGAGAAAAATAATTCCTGACAATGAAAGAAACAAACCTTAGGCCCCGCAAGAGTTCAAATGTCAGGGCCGCTCAGCACTTGCCAGACGCTGAGCGCCCAGCCCTGGGCCTCTCAGCACTGAGTGGAGCCTCTGTTCTTGGCCTTAAATTCTCACCATAAATACATCTACTCCTGGCTGCCAGCAGGGAAGGGGCCATATAGCAATCACTGACAATTCTGTTACAGGAAGAAGAGAGTGTGAGTAAAGAGAAAGCCTCACTTCACATCAGTTAACACTTACGCAAATAACCACCATTTGCTGAAGCAACCTGCTGAGTGATGTACATACGTTATGTCATATGTCAGAGCATTATGTCACTTAATCACTACAGCGAATCTATGAGGTGACTCTTATTATCTCTATTACACAACAGGATATAGGGTCAGAGAGGTTAATAAACTTCCACAAGCTCACAAAGGTAGTGTGTGGATTTTGCACCCAAGCCCCAAAGTTTGTGTTCCTGCTCGCTGTTGTAATGATCTTGAGGATAGCTGGTCATGTCTATGTGTGTTTTGCTTTCTTTAAAGTATTCTGTTTTCAGCTGTAGCGAAATGATGTGCATGGAGTTGAACTGGGGTGGGCCAAGGAAGTCAATCATGAAAATATTTTTAAAATAGCTTTTCATTATAATCAGACTTAGTTTCTCAAATTCAACAGTGAGCCCTAAAACTTGGCATTAGATACCTTATATCCTAAGCATATAGTCTGTTGGCCCTATGTCCCAAAAGAGATTCCACTCTTTGAGTAGGGTGATACTGCTAATCCTCTGTTAGCATCGAGAGCAAGTGTAGGTTCATGGGCAGTGTCAAAAGGATGAGCAACCCCCCATGGTGGCTGATGGACATTTACCCATTACTGCATCCCACCATGTGGGTGCTTCTGGGCCCTATAGATCTGTCTCGATGACTGTATATTTATTACAGTATTTATTATGAATAATGAAACAGCCACCATGACACAGTTAAGAGATCTCTAAAGCCAAGCAAACAGATATAAACCCAGCAATTACTTGATGCGTCCATGTCCCAGCATCCATGGATGGCGTGGACAATGCGCAGACGACATCCATGGGACAGAGGACCTTTTCCAAAAGGGACAGATGGTGGCCACTGTCCTTCAAGAGCTCTACAAGTCAGTCATGGGCCCTGCCAACTAGGTGCATTGCCTCCTGCTCAGACAGAGGAAAACAGTTACAGTGTGCCACCTGGGCTAGGTATTCCAAGAGCAAAGGACCACATACCCTCCCCACGCGTGTTTGCATCAAGGGTGTTAAGGAAAGCTTATTCAACATCAGTGTGATACTTAGGAAGTCACAAAATGACTGTTTTTAAAATCAGTTTTGTGGAGACAGTATAATTTACGTGCATTAAAATTTACCTTTCCTAAACCTACCGTTCTATAAATTCTAACAAATGCATCAAACCACACCACAGTTGGGACACAGAACATTTCTGTTATTGCCAGAGTTCCCTCCTGATCCTTTGTAGTCAGTCCTTTCCTCCCCACCCCAGCCCCTGGCAACCACTGCTCTGTTCTCCATCCCTACATCTTTGCCTTTGCCACAATCAGTGGAATCGTATGGTGTGTTTCTGTTTGAGTCTGGCCTCTTTCTCTTGGCACAAGGCTTGCTTTGGCATGCATTTGTAGTTTGTTCCTTTTTATTCCGGAGTAGTATTTACTTTACATTAGTTTGTTTATCCATTCACCAGGTGAGTGACATTTGGCTTATTTCTGGCTTGGGGTAATTATGAATAACGCTGCTATAAACCTTCACGTACAGGTTTTTGCATGGACATGGTTTTCAGGCTGGACTGCATGGTGAGCATATGCTTACAATATGGCAGTGTATGAGAGATCCAGTTGCTCCCCATCCTCACTAGCACGTGATACTGTCCACAAACTGACTCTAGAAACAGTTAGAAGTAGTTGCTAATGTCAGGCAGTGTTGGTTTTGTTTTGTTGCCTAAAAGCAAAGCTTCTGTCTATGCTTTGGATCAATCTGAAGGAGTTAATAATGAAATAAAGTGTTTTTCTGGGTAATTGCACCCTTAAATTATGGCTTTTTCCCTGTTAACTATTTAATGAAAACTTTTACAAACATCCTTGATACCCAAGCAGTAGGTAGGATGGCAATTGATCCTATGCTCAATGGGTATTTTTAAACATTCAAATGAGGTGGTATTTTCTTTAAAAGGAAGCGTTCAACTTCCTTAACCTTGTTTTGAAAAGATCTTGAAGATTCCTGTGCTCTGGGGAAAACCAAAGCCAGAATTAGAACAATGGCAACCTTGGACTATTCTCATTTCTCTTGCAGGAAATGGCTTTTTTTTTTTTTAAGTTAACTGTCTATATGCGACCTATGGATTATCTACTTCCAGAATTATACATAAGCGGTTTAGAATACTGTTGCTCCACATTTGCCTCTAATCCCCCTCACTTCCCAAGCCAACCGATTTTCTTTCCAGTCAATCCAGGCATACTCCAAATGTTAAATAATGAGCCTTAGTCCAAATGGAACATAATTAGAGAAATAACTCCGGAATCAAAATAATTACATACACCAGTGTCAAGACAAATACGGCTTGGAGTAGTCACCATCTTGGGGGGCATCGATTCTGAGGTTTTCCTTCAGCAGCTGGGAAAATTGAGAGTAAAATGGAGATGTGTCCGCGACAGGGTGGCGGGAAAGACGAGGCGAAGAACCATCTGAGGAGGGTTCTCCCCCACAGCACATGGAGGCTTCTGTGAAGATTTTAGCTCATTGTTCTGGTAGAATCTCGCTGAACCTTTCAATAGCTAGGTAGACAAGGGGCTCCTGGTTTAGTCTCACTGTGGCTTCTAGATGTCTTCGAGATTCTTGGGGTCTCAGGGGCCATCCCGGGTATGATGAGAAGGCAGTTGTCAGTCGGGTCCTGACTCTGAACTACCAAAACCCTAAAGAAGTTGAAAGGTTGGCAGGGCAAGTCTTAAGAGTGGCTTTGTTGCTCCCGATAGCATTCAGGAGTCCAGCGAAATGATGTGTTTCCTCCCGATTAACCCCAAAAGAAAGAACAGTATGAGGAGAAAGTGGACCTGGTGCTACTATGTGCTAATAATTTGTGCCGGAGTCTATTTTATGACATTTCAAATTTAATTCTATCCCCCGCCCTATGAAGGAAATATTATCTCTCATAATTACTCACAGCTGGGAAATCGAGGGTCCCAGAGGTTGCCTCAGGGCTCGCTTGGGCAGCACATAGACTGAAATCGGAACGATACAGAGAAGGTGAGCATGGCCTCTGTGCAAGGATGACATGCACATTTGTGAAGAGGTTGCTTCACTAGCTCGTGTTGCTAGTTGAGTGGCCAAACTCAAAGTCCCCAGATCTGTCTGACCCCAAAAACCCTGCCCTCCCTTGAGATCCCAGGAAAATATCAGATGCCCACTTAAATTTTCAGAGAAACAACTACGTATGTTTTTAGTATTTGTAGGCCCCAAATAGTACATGGGATGTGCAGATACTAAAAATCATTCCTTGTTTATCTGAAAGGCAGATTTAATGGAACATCCTATATTTTTATTTGCTAAATTTTGCAACCCTGGCCCTCACTGATGTTTTCTGGGCACACGATGGAGTTGCCAATATTCTGCAGTTTGCTCCTCCTCATTAGATCATTGCAAAAAGATTTCTTCCCATCGTGTACTTTGGGGGATGGAGTGAGGAGGAAAGGCTCTAAAGGGGAGGCTCACCTGAGCACAATCACGAGTGGGAAAATAACAAGCATCTCCTTCTTTCAGGATCACTGAACTGTACTGGGCTGGAAAACGCCCGTGGGCCAGGTCATTTTCCATGATGTACACGTGTCTGGTTTAGAGCTTTCCAAAGTTTGTTTTTGTGGAGCCCTAGCCCCTGAGATAATTTGTGCACAGCTAACTTTGGGAAGTGCTACAAATGTCCCCCTCTTGGAGGGTCCTGGGGCACATTGGATCATTGTAGTTCTTGAGAAAGCCTGTTGGGAAGACCACCGTTGATTTTCTGGAACTGAGAAGATTTCACACTCCCTGACCACAGCAGGAGCCCCTGCCTGTGGGATGACGGGAAACTCCATCCTTTCTCCTGTTCCCTTCTGAGACAGTTTCTGAGAATCCACAAGCTATGTTTATATATCCTTTTTTATTTGGGGGCTTCGGAATGGAGCTGGGCCCACAGTACTCAGTTGCTAGCGCTGAGCTCACATGGCGTACGAATCGCTAGAGGTGTGAGCATGTGGATTGAGCTGCACTCCATGTACGCATCCCCCCCCCCGCCACCTTGTCACTTGCTTGCCCCCGCTGCTGGGCTCAGACACTGGCCTGCTCCTTAATTCCTCTTGTCCGGCGCAGAGGAGACAAACAGCGCTGGAAACCGGACAACTCCCAGAGCCTCCACGGTGTCCCCCTGCCAGTGGTGTGTTGGTAGATGCTTAGCAACGGGCTAGAGGAGTCTGAGTCCTAGTGTGTGGGGCTCAAACACATGACCCCGATGGTCAAGAGTCACGTGCTCTATCAACTGAGCCAGCCAGGTGCCCCTACATAATTTAATTTTTAATGATGGCCATGCTTGTCAACCAACTTGCAAAATTCCTGACGATTTTACAATTTTACAGAAGTCCATACATCTAGCTCCAGCACACCACTGCGGCTTCAGGGTCACTTGCTCCCTAGCCTCTAACTCCCATCCCCCATCCGCTTCTCCCATCCCCACGCCAAGCAAAGGAAGGCACTTGAAACCATTTCTGTCCTACCCAGAATCCAGGCCTAATTGCTTCCCCCAGAAACGCTCCGCAGATTAATGAAGACAGATTTTTATATTACAATCGAAATGCCTTTACCTTGAGCCATCCTATTTCAGAACAGGATACTTGCTTTCGTTTGCATATATAAAAGGGCAATCGTGTATTTTTCCCAAAAGAATCATCTGCACCCCCAAAGGCAACTTCTAGTCTCTAGTTGGAAGTCAGCAGAATGGAGAACCACTAAAACTTTAGAATTTGGGGGTCAGTTTTTTTCTTCAGGATTTCAGAGAGTTCTGGACCAAGTCTTAGATGGAGCTCTGAGTCTCTTAAGCATCCCTCTCCTCCGCTGCTATTGAAGAAAGGCTTTTCCCAGACATGTAACCTACGGGGAGGGGGGGTGGTATGTGGGTTGAATTGTGTTTCCCCAAAATATGTTGGAGTCCTCTAAGTGTGGTACCTATAAATGTGACTATTTTGAAGGATGGGGAGCTCCTGCCTCCAGTCTTCCTATGGTGGACTGCATTGCCCCAAAGAACCTAAGAGCCTGCACAGGAATAATCAGATCCCTCTACATAATTAACCCCGGGTGGTCTATCCTGATCCTAACTTATCCTTGATTTATAACGCATGCAAACATGAATTCATCTCTACTGGTTTATTAGTAGCCATGGACAACACTTCTCCCTCCATGCCTCCCAAATAAATCACTTCCCCGCTAAGGTCTGAAAGTTCTGCAAGTCTCCAGAATTGAAATAGTTCACCTTGGAAATTCTTAATTCAGTTGATTTCTGTCTCACAGCAGATGTTATAGAAATACTTGATTATTGATAATATCTCCAATTTGCATAAATGTTGATACCATGTTAAAGGGGATGAGAAGAGAAATGATATAATTACTGCAAACTAATTTTACTAATTACTCAGAGCCGGGCACAATCAGGGGTTCTAAGAGATGCGTGGAGAGAGGACTAGGTGCTGAGCTCTGAGGTTTCAGGGTGCACAGTGAGCCAAGCCCTAGCGTGTACGAGGGCTGGGGAACAGCCAGTGTCCTTTGCTGACCAATTCAGCAGCCAAGGGTATGGCCGAGACCTTTGTGGTCTCGGCCAAACCGCAGGGTTTTGCCCGACTGTTCCTCAGTCATTTTGTTGTTGTTGTTGTTTTACTGCCTCTGAAATACCTAAATCCAAGATGCAATCACCTGGGAACCCCTGGAAGACAAAGAATTCTTCCAGAATTCTGGCCCTAAGTGGCTAAACCTGGGTTTTAATGTGCCCTCGGGAGGTAGTTCCATGATTCATGGCCTCTGATGAATCTCTTCGCCCTGTGGCTAGCACCTGGCGTCAGCGCCTCCCACGTCGACACTGGGCGGGCCCAGTGCTGCTCCTTCTTGGCCCTGGCCGATGTGCATCAGCATGTGTGACCCAAGCAGCAGCTCAACAAGCACAGGTACATGGGCGTCTGCCCTCGGGAGTTGCTATTGCCCTTCTCTGCCGGAGAGGTCATATGGACCAGGACTGAGGCTCCTGGCTGGTAGCCCTGGGCATTCAAATGAAGCCTTCTGAGACCCTATAGTCTTCTGAGTAATCCCACAGAACCCCACTAACCCCAGCCAAGCCCAGAATGGTGAGAAAATAATGGTGGCCATTTTAAGCTGGTAAGATTTGAGGTTAGTTGTTTCTCAGCAATAGATGATTAAACACTGCCCTTGATCTGCAGAACGTTTTTCCAAGACATACCTTCCTGAGCACCTAGTGTGTACCATACTCAGTGACAGGGAGCCGGGATACCAAGATGAACATAGAATAGCTTCCATCAAATAGCTCAAGGTTCCAGGACAGAATAGATGATACCGTGGTAGGGACAGCAAGAAGAGGTTCGTGACAAAGGTGGTATCTCCTTTCTTTCTTGAATTCATACTTAATAAGCTTCTGTTGAGTGCCAGGTTATGTACCGGGCAGAGCAGTGAACTCAAGAAACAAGACTCAAAGAGCTAGTGGCATTCAAGGTAGACACTTCTGGGGTGCCTGGGTGGCTCAGTCAGTTACGCGTCTGCGTTCAGCTCAGGTCATGATCCCAGGGTCCTGGGATCAAGCCCCACATCCGGCTCCCTGCTCAGCGGGGAGTCTCCTTCTCCCTCTTCCTCTGCCTTTCCCCCCACTTGTGCTCTCTCTGTGTGTCAAATAAATAAAATCTCAAAAAAGAAAAAAGATGGACACTTCTGTTCCCATGATTGTCTTTATCCTGGGAGGTGACACCTGCCCATCTTGCCCTAGCAAGTATAAGGGAGGTAGCAGAAGGAATAACATTGCTTCCATAATAAATGCTTTTATGCAAGGCGACCATTTAATATTCTTTATATCTAAGTAATTTATTTTTTTAAAGATTTATTTATTTGAGAGAGAGAGAGAGAGAGCATGCGAGCAGGGGGAGGGGCAGAGGGAGATGGAGACAAGCAGACTCCCCACTGAGCAGGGAGCCCAATTCAGTGCTGGATCCCAGGACCCTGAGATCATGACCTGAGCCGAAATCGAGAGTTGGATACTTAATCGACTGTGCTGCCCAGGTGCCGCCCCTGTATCCAAGTAACGTAAGTAAAGAAGTAATTTCAGCAAAGAGATAGTTAATCGAGATGCTGGCAACGATAGCATCTCCATACCTTTCCATGGGGTGGATGGCGGTTGTTTGTGGGCAGTGGGTATCAGTGACTTGTTTTCTCCTTCCCACCTTTCAACCACCTGTTTATGAGCGGCTTGAGAAGGCAGAAGGAGGCGGGAGTTAGGCTTGGTTTCACCTCTCCTAACAGCGGCTGTGGGGCAGCAGGACGGCTCTTTGGAGGGCATCTACCAAACTCTTCTGGAGAGTCGTTCCCTTTGAGGTGTTCCGGGTTCAGTTCTCGGGGACGCACACTCCGAGATGGAGATGAGCTGCTGGAAGTTTGTTAGGGGGCATTCTCAGGATCAGCACCTGCGGAAGAGAAAGGAAGGAAGCAGGACTGGGCAGGAGATGGTGGGCGTTAGCCAGCCCCATGGGGAGCTCGGAAGCTGGCCTGGCTGTTCAGAGTTCTCAAGCTGCGCTGAGGGACCAAGGCCTTTATACTCCCGAGTCAACCGCTTGCTCGTTGGCTTGCCAGGAAGTGGGGTTCTCCGGAGCACAATAGCTGTTTTCCGCCCATGTAATTCCTGAAGAAGGATGACAGCTGAGGGCCATCTGCTGGCAACACTGCCGGCATCCGACAAACAAGTCCTTTATTTCTAAACAGGATCTGGGGGGTGCATCCCAACAGCTACCACAGAGAATGAGCAGGATCTGTCTTCAAGATAACAGGACCATCTGATGATGCCGAGCTCTGCCTTCATTCCTCTCTGGGCGCCAGTTCTTCCTGGTATAGTAGGTACCTGGCTCCATCTCCTAGACTGCTCGCTCTCCCATTTGGCCATTTCAGAATAAAGAGGATGGTGATGATAATGGAGGTGATGGTGATGAAGAGGAGGAGCGGGGGGAGATCTGATTTAGCCATTCATTTAAAAAGGCTGGCACCCTCAAAATGCACATAAGCAATGCGCCGTTA